GGCTGAAACCACTCGAATACTCCACCAGAGACTGGACGAAGAGATGAATCAGAGACAACTGATGGAGATCGAGAGATCGAATTGTAACCAATCTGTACAAGAGTCCAATAGGATGATTCAACAGATGGAAGAGGCCGCTCAATTGCTGTCCCGTGAGGTGATCACATTGTCGCTGCAAGAGAAGATGACATTCGATAGATGGGTCAGTTGGAGCTCAAATTGAAAGAAGCGGAAGTTCGAAGAGAAGAGTCTGACCGACAGAGACAATCCGTTCTTTCAGGATTACAAGTAAAATTACGATCGCTCTCTGCAGATGTGAGTGAAGTGAATCGAACGATGACTGAATCTCTCTAAGGGTGAGTCCATGGAGATTCAAGGACAGACGGGGAAGGAGGAGATCCTGCAGGAGATTCACCAATGGCTGGCAGCTCACACCGTGAACGGAGATCAGCTGCTCGAAGGCGAAGGGCAACCGTCTGGAATCGATCCTGCGGTCGAGCACGAAGAGAAGATGCTGCGGAAGAACAAATTATTGGACGAGACGAAGCAACAACTGGCCGAGCTTCGAACACAGAGGGAAGAATCTGAGAGGGACCTGAACGAGAAGATCACCTTGCTCACCGTTCAGCTGCAGGAGAGGGAGAGGGAACTGTCCGAAATGCAGAGGGAGAATGAAGAGACGGTGAAGAAGATGCGAACAGAGATAGATGAATCTCGAGAGGAGCTGAGCAAGGCGAGAGGAGAGAGAGAAGAGCTGCACCAGACAACAGTGGACCACGAGGAGTCTGTGTCCAGTTTGGAACAAGCTCAACAAGAACTCCAAGCCAGGATCGAGGAGAGAGAAAAGAGAATCACCGAGTTGGAATCAGTAGCGGAGGAGAGAGAGAAGAGGATAGCCGAACTAGACTCAGTGAAGGAAGAAAGAGAGAAGGGCATACTGGATCTGGAATCAGCCAAAGAAGAGATGAAGCATAGAATCGCAGAACTGGAATCAGCGAGGGAGGAGAGAGAGAAGATAGTGACGCAATTAGAATCAGAGAGAGGAGAAGGAGAGAAGAGGATCTCAGAACTCGAGTCAGAGAGGGAAGAGAGGGAAAAGAGATTAGCCGAGTTAGAGTCAGAAAAAGAGGAGAGGAACAGAGAAGAGAAGCAGATGGAGAGCCTGGAGGCTGAGATCAGAGAACTTCGTGAAGAGAAAGACAGAGAGGCTCGATCAACAGAGGAGATTCAGCAGGAATTTAAATCATTTAGAGAGGATTCAGAAGCTCTGGAGACAAGTTTGAAAGCCCAGTTGGACATACTTCGAGAGGAGACGAAACGAGAAGTGGAAGAGACACAAGAGAAGAGAGCAGAGGTAGAGAGGATCACGAAAAAGAGAGCAGAGATGGAAGAGGAGATGCAAGAACTGAGAGAGAAGGTACACAAGTTCGAAGAGAGCATTACGAAGAAGGAAGAAGAGCTGGAACGGTTGAAAAAGGTGAAATGGATGTGATGAAATGAAGGAGTCTGAACAACGTAGCTTTCAGAGGAGAAGATAAGAAAGTACAAGGAGATCATCCAATCGATGATACAAAGAGAGAAAGAGATGCAAGAGGAGACAGACAAGATGAAAGAGAGCAGAGAACAGGTACAGCCATCGATACATTGAATAAGCTGATTCACCTCTACTAGTTGGAAGCACTTCGAGTAGAAATGAAAGAGGAAGAGGAGAGGAGAGAAGAGAGAGAAAGAGAGCATACCATGGAGGTCGAGCGGCTGAATTCGATCATCCAAATCAATCGAGAAGAACAGGAAAGACAAGCCAAGGAGAGGTGTGATATCGGTGAGTGAGAAGTGTTGATCATCAGAAGGGATACAGAAGGTGAAACGCTGAGGCAACGAGTGGAGGAGTATGAAGCACAGAAGGCATCGATGATGGAAGAAACAACGGAAGTTCGAAAGAAGATGGAGGCACTGCAAGAGGATATGGAACAAGCGAGGAGAGAGGCGGAAGAGCGAGCGGCAGAGCGAGAGAGAGACACACAGGAGACTCTTCTGCAGATGACTGCACAACATGTGTGTAGTATCACCTTCAGACCTGGATCTGATGGAAACAGGAGAAAGAGAAGATGGATTCCGAAGAGAAGATGGAGAAGCTGAGGCAAGAAGTACAGAAGAGTGGAGAATCTGCTTCAGAGATTGAAGAGTGGAGAGAAAAGTGCAGTCAATTGGCTGATCAAATGAAGGCAACGGAGGAGAAGGTGGGTGCATCTGACAAATGCACTGTAGATGTATACTGAAGATGTGAAGATGGAGGAAATACGCCAAGAGATAGATCTTCACAAGAAGACGGCAGAGACATGGCAAGACAAGTACAACAGGAGGAACGAGCAGTTCAAGGAGACTCGGAAGCAATCTGATGCACGAAAGACGGAGATCAAGTTGAAGGAGGAAGAGGTGAAAGTGATCCATGACATGGCAACCAACAAGGACAGAACAATCGATTGGAGGGTGAAATCATGCAGATGAGGGAAAACCAGACGACCTTTGAAATCCAACTGTCAGAGAAGGAAGAACAGATCAAAGAGCTACAGAAGCTCCAGGAGACAAAGAAGGAAGAGAAGATACAGGTGAGAGATCGACTGAATGCTGGATTGAACGGTATCAGAGTCCCATGAAGAAGACAGAAGAGAAGAGAGTGAAGAAGGAAACGAAGGAAGCACAAGAGGTGGAGGGCAAGACGGAGATGAAAGTGAACACATCGAAGCCAAAGAGAGGAGTGAGATAGTGAACATGATAGAGACTGAGATGAAATAGAGCGCAATGGATACACCGAAGAAGATCGAAGAGCCAGAGTGTAGTAGTGATGAAGAGAAGGAAGAGAAGAAGGAGAGAGGGAAGAAGACACCAACAAAGAGCCCTGGAAAGAAGGTAGAAACGAAGAAAGAAGAACAGAAGGAAGCAAGAAGGAGAGAGGAAGAGAGGAAAGAAGAGGAGAAGAAGACACAAGAGAGAGAGGAGAAGAAGAGAGCTGAGAGGGAAGAGCAAGAGAAGAAAGAGAGGGAAGAGCAAGAGAAGAAAGAGAGGGAAGAGCAAGAGAAGAAAGAGAGAGAGGAAAGAGAGAAAGAGAGAAAGAGGGAAGAAGAGAAGGAAGCGAAGAAGAGGACACCAACTAAGGTCTTGGGAAGGAAGAAAGTAACAGAAGAGACTGAGGTGGAGAAGAAAGAAGAGAAGAAAGAGAAGACACCAGAGTCAACAAAGGACAAGAGGAAGAGAGAAACAGCGACGATCGATCTGTCATCTCCTGTGAGTCTATTGAATGAGAAGGAAGAGCTGAGAGAAACAGACAAGCACGAAGAAGACCAAGAAAGAAGAGAGGGAGGAGAGAGAAGAGAAAGGTGAGAGGATGAGAAGGATGTAGAGTGAGAGAGAGTAGTGATCCTGTTCTCTGGATTCAAGGACGATACCGAGTGGACATCCGCACTGAGAGATGACTTGATGCAGAAGGTGAGAGATATCATCGAGAATAGACATGATACAGAGATAACATAGAGGGGATAGATATAGAGAATAGATATAGAGGATAGATATAGAGGATAGACATAGAGGATAGACATAGATAGACATGAAGTAGAGATAGAATGGACTGATGAGGAAAGGTGGAGAAGATGGGAGCGAAGGCGATGAACGAATGCGAGTTCAACGGGACCATCAGCCACGTAGTAGCACCACCGGGATGCAAGACAATGAAGACACTGGCAGCAGCACTGACGGGAAGATGGTTGGTCACTCCCAAGTGGATCGAAGAGAGTCACAGAGAGAACCAGTTCATCAACGAAGAACCGTGAGTCTCTCATCAAGAGAGGAAGTTGAAGAGAGAAGGTATGGGAGTCGAGTGAGGGCGTTGATCTTCAAGGACAAGAAGGTGATGATGGAGAGGGGATTCGTGGAAGAGAACAAGAAGAGACCGTACAAGATGAAGAACTGCGTCACCATCGTGTGCACACTGGGTGGAGGAGAGATGACAGAGGAGGTGGAAGAGGCAGATTACGTCATTGTGGGTACCAAAGAGACCAGGAAGGACTCGAGGCACGTGACGTGGAACATGTTCATCGACCTCATCCCCGGTTGTCTCGTGGAGGATAAGGTCAGTCTGTGTCCTCTATCTCTCTTAACCATCGATAGAACCAAGGAAAGATGGTCGTTCAGAGTGCAGCACCCAAGGCTCAGCCGAAGGCAGTCGAGACGGGGAAGAGTGAAGGGAAGAAGGAAGAGAAGAAGGAAGAGAAGAAGAAAGAAGAAGGGAAGGGAGGGAAGACGAAGAGGTGAGAGGATGAAGAGAAGAGGAGTGACAATCGCAGGGAGGAGACAGAAGTATCCCCAACGAAGAAGGCGAAAGTGGTGGGAAGAAAGAAAACAGGAAAATAAAAACTGACCTTGTGATGGAGGTCATGTTCATGTATCAAGTTGGTTGCAGTCTTGCAACTCATTCTAGATGAGAGTGCAGAATCTGTAAAGCATTCTTCATCAGAGACAATTTGTTTATTCCCCGTTAGGTCTTTGCCAACTTGTGGTCAAGAGGACACAGGTTTGATGTTTGCCAAAACCTCGGAAACCGGGGACCTGGCACCTTCTTTCGGTTTCACCTTACTTGGAGGTGACTTTTTCGCCGATGGACTCTCTACAGTCTCACTCCTGGGAGGAGGTGGTGTGCTGTCGTCGGGCGATTTGAGAATGATTAACTGAAATCTCTCGTTCTCCCCGACACTCAAGCGTACGAGTTTGTATGTCTTTTCGGCTCGTAACCTAACAGGAACTCTTTATATTCCCGTGCAGAACCAACTCACGCCATAGAATATAAAGAGCTGAAGTGCCCAAAGTTGATTCATGTATCCGTTAATCGATCGTTTGTCGTTTCAATGTTCTTCGTATCATCGCCATGTGCGGAGCTACATCCGAAGATGGAGGCGCCCTAAGGACACAGTATAACGTACATCGACATGTGCGGGGCACTACACCACTCCTCGATAGTATAGTGGTGAGTATACAAGCCTGTCAAGCTACGTTCTACGGCGTACAGATCGCTTGGGACCCGTGTTCAATTCCCGGTCGGGGAGCTCTTTTGAATATTCGGACCCGTGTCAAGAAGTAGAATCGCGAGTGAGGTGTCTGACGAGATTAGACTCCAAAAAAGTCGATGTTATCATTATGTAGACACTCACAGAGATCATGTGTTCACTCCATTGAGATTCAGAATCGAATACGAAACGGAATTGTCAAGAATTGTTATCTTCTAAATGTAATCCCGCTGTTGATGCTATGTGATCGAAGATTCTCCTGTCAACAAGCTCATTCAAACTGGTTCGGGCCTTCTGAGACGTTATTTCGATTGTACAACCACAGAAAAGGAACTCTTAAAGAGATTGACGTACACAAGAATGTCTCGCTTATTTCTGTCTCATTCATCTCCAAGTGATACTCATTTTGTGAATATACCGTGTCTCTCGCCAACAGAGAAGAATTGATAAGTTGTTGATCTGCACACAGAAATTGATGCATCTCTCCCATTGGAAATTGTATAGTTTTTTGTCCTTGTTTGGTGTTTGTGTCTGTGTGTAGTGGTAAACATACGTAACATATTCCTCCTGGTTCATTTTCAAGTAGCCGACGCGTCAGCATGTCTCTCTCCAAGAAACCTCGTGAATCCAAATATCGCCACCTCTTCGGCACTCCGTTTCAGCCCACCGAATGCATTAATGGGGTCAAGATCGGTTCAGGTGAAGATCTGTATGTGGAACTCAGATGTAACCCATCCTCTCAGTGCAGTTGGACGCCAACCCAGTCAAGGCGAACGGTCGTTTCCTTGCAGTACCTTGGGCTCTCACAGGAACAGTCGCAGTCATCCCACTTAGCCACAAAGGTTCTGTTCACCCCGAACATCCTGTGCGTCATTCTCCCTTCACATGCAGTTGATGTATTTTAGTTGATCCTCCAAGAAGACAGGACAGTGAACGACCTCCAATTCGCTTCGACCGACGACAATCTCTTGGCCACAGCCAACTCCGATGGAACAGTCAGCTTCTGGAGGATCCCCGACGGTGGTTATGAGCAGAGCCCAGCTGCACCGGAGAGGGAGTACAAAGTGTCGGAGAAGAGGTGACAGTCTTCCTCATTCTCGATCTCACCAAGCGACAGAGTCATGAACTTGTCTTTTCATCCCCTGGCCTCTGATGTCCTGCTGACCGCTGACGCCGCAAAATCAGTTCAGCTGTGGGATGTCTCTACTGGCCAGTCTCGCGCGTCCCTCCCAGATCATCAGGTGCATCTCGTCACATAATACAGAAGACCACTAACGGAATTTAAGGCAGCACCCACATCCTTCTGCTGGTCCGCAGATGGAAAGCTCGTCGCCTCTTCTTGCAAGGACAAGAAGGTTCTCATCGTCATGATGATCTGGCTGATCCTCTCAGGTTCGATTGTTCGACCCCAGAGCCTCTTCACCTCTCGTCGCCTCTGCTGAAGATCATTCGGGTGTTAAGGGTGCACAGAACACATTCGTTGGAAAACAAGGAGGTGAGTTCTACTCTTCAGACATTGAGTGATTTGATACAGAGCCTGAGCTCCTCCTGACGGCCGGGTCTAGCAAGGGCACTGACAGGGAATTGGCTCTGTGGGATCCCAGGAGCTTCGGAAAGAGGCTGACTACCGTTCGTGTCGATACTGGGTCCTCCCATCTGTTCCCTTATGCAGACAGAGATCTCGGTCTCGTTTACGTCGCTGGAAAGGTATTCCCTCATCATCTCATCTTCTCATCGAGGACGATCATCATCGCATTGAGAGAAGAAGATGTGTTTGTTGTGCTGACTTGGATAGGGTGATGGTAACATTCGTTACTATGAATTGGGTAGCGATGAGCCTATGCTTCACTATCTGAACGAGTTCAAATCGAAGGATCCTCAGACAGGTTTGGCTCTGTTACCCAAGACGAACGTGGATGCCGTCAAGTGTGAAATTGCCGTGAGTCATTGCATCATGTAAAGGCTCACTATCGCAGCGATTTATCAAAGTGTCACCCAACGGCCTGGCCACTTCCATTCGCTTCGAGGTGTGATTCTTTCTTCACTTTCTTCGTGTATCGAACTCTCTCAGGTACCCAGAAGAGAGAACTCGTTCTTCCAAGATGATCTCTTCCCTAACACGGTGAGTGCACTGTAAGATGCACAGAGTTTGACGTGGTATCAGTTCGATCGAAAGGCAACGACCAACGCGGATGGATGGTTCTCTGGATCCGATGCATCACCTCATTACATCTCTCTCAACCCCGAAAAGTAAAGATAAAGATGTGTCTGTTCACGTGATGATGAATTTATTGGAGAGACACGGTGATGACGCTGATGTTGTCCTCCGAAGACAAGAGATAAGCGGCGTCTCTCAGTCGAACGGATGAATCGTAGAGATTCGAACCGGAGGAGATGATGTCCACGGCCTTCTGGTCCCCGATCTCATCCCAGACACCATCACACCCCAAGATGAGATGATCGTCCTCCTCCGTGATGTCGAATTCAGCCAGGTGGCATTCGCAGGTGACAAAGGGTGCCATGTAAAAGTCCCCTGTGGATATTCAGTGTCCCTCTCAGACGGTGACACACCTATGGCCCTGGACACGGCAATGACTCCGTTGACGCGTCGAGTGACTTCACCCACAACGTGTCCCCCCAGTTCATTGATCCTATCCTCTTCGTCCCCTGGCTGATTCGATCAACGACTGAAATAGTGGATGAGAATAGAATTACCTTGTGGTCGTAAGAGAGTCGAATGGCTTTTCCTCCTCTGCTTAATACAGCCCTTGTATCACCAACATTGGCACAATAAAGCTTCCTCTTCTCTCGATCTACGATCAACGCCAGTCCCGTCGACCCGCAGTGTCTCTCCATCGGTGGTAATTCGTTCGCATCCATCGCCTCTCGAAATCCTCGATTCACCTCCTGGAACGCTCCATCTAACGCTTCTAACCCTTCCTTCCCTTCTTCCAGTTGTTTCCTGTTCCATTCAATCTCCTCCTCGCTCCTTCACTCACCGTAGAGCCTTCGGATACTTCTTCACGCCAAATTTAGAGGCCGAGCTGCCGGCGTGTCCATCGAAGACACCCCACAGTTGGACCTTCTTCGTCTCTCCTTCTGTGTCTCTCAGTACTTCTCTCCTCCTTCACTCACCTGGAGTCGTGTAGGTGAAATTCTCCTCGATCAGCAGTGCGTCCTCTTGTGTCGGTCGCTTTCCTGTCATCTCCGTGTATGCGTATCTTCTCTCTTCGTTCTTCTCGATCGTTGGTGGCACTTCTGCGTAATTCTTCTCCAAGGGAAGGATGTCTAGATAGCACACCACTCCCCTGATAAGCATGAGTGTGACAGTGAAGAGAGTGCATCACCTGTCCATCAGAGTAGATAAGAAGGGGAGTTCGATTAAGTTCTTGAGAGTGATGGGATTGTTGGATAGGATGATCTCTTGCAGGTAGATCATTCCCTCTAATATGTCCTCTCCGATGTCTTCGATGGAGTTGTGACTGATGTCCAATCGTTGGAGTTCCATCAGCCCTCTGAAGCTCTCGGGAATCTGTTTCACGTTAACGTTTGATGTGGAGAGTGATGTACCTGTGTGATCTTGTTTCCTGAGATGTCCAAGTGGGTCAGTGTGGCTGTGGAGCTGATGGAATCGATCTCGTTACCTAACTGACAGTTTCCGAGGAATAAGGTCGTCAATTGCCTCATTCCAGATAACAACTGAGAGCTCAGAGGCACCTAACATCATTAGA